AGGCGAGAAACCTGCCCGTGACATTTTTGGTGGAGTTTAAAAAGCACCAACACTGGGAAAAGGAGAGGCCGGTGGGACCAGGAGAGGAGGAGAGGACCCATCTCAGCTCGGTTTTCCGCGGGCAAAGCCTGAGACGGGGACTCTTGGCTCTGCGATTTCTAAAGGGAGGGTTTGGAGTAGAAGCGCAGTGGGAGCTGAACAGAGGGAGGGGAAGGGTCCAGGTGGAGCCTGTCCTCAGCCTGAGCCCACGGGGCGCTATGGATGGCACCACAGAGCTGCCCTGCCTTCAGGGCGCAAAGGGGTCCGCCTTTTGTTCAGATGTCTCTATCAGTCCGTCATAGGCTGTGGACCTCTGCTGGGGAAGTGTGCTCTCCCATGCATCTCTGGACATGGCCGCTCCCACTGGGTTTTTTTTCCAGAGAAGGGAGCAGCTGTGGGTCGTTAGCAGCCAACACTCCCAGCAGCTGGGGATGGCCACACCCACCTGAGAAAGGGGATTTGAGTCAAGGTGGGGGACACCACCACATTTCTAGGGACAAGTGATAAAAATCAAGGCTGGGGTCAGGGCTGAGGGAGGTAGGCAGGGAGGGTGTGGTCTGATGCTCCGCTCTGCCAGGGCTCTCTGCCTCATGCTCAGCCTGCCACTGCCAGGCCCCCCATGATCTGGTGCCCCCCCCCACATCCCACACACTCTTTGCCTCTCTGTCCATCTTCTCCCATCTTCTACCATTCTCTCGCTCACCCTCTCTTCTGCACCCACACTGGCCACCTCAGGACCTTTGCACATGCTGTTCCTGCCACTCTTCCCCCCACATGCTGCATGTGGCTTGCTCCTTCATTTCCTTCAGACCTCAGTTCAAATCCTACCTTTTCCAAGAAGCCTTCTTTGACCATCCTATCTCAATGAACCAATAGATTAAGAGGCTTAAGAAACAGATCAACCAAATGCAACGTAAACACTTTGGATCCTAATTCCAACAAACCAACCCTAACAAGATATTGTGAGACCATCAGGGAAAAGTTGAATATAGACTGAATAGTAGATAATGGCAAAGGACCGTTTACTAACTGTGTTGGGTGTGGTAATGGTATTGTGCGTACATTAAAAATTGTTTTCCTTATCTGTTAGTAATCCATAACAATATGACGCCTAGAATTGCTTTAACATACTCCACCAAGTACATAGGTGCATCCAGCCACACACAGACGACTTGGGATTCAAAGCCGACCTGAGCCATCATGTCCCCAACATGAGGGTCAGACCCACCTATGCAGGTACCGGGGCATGTGCCCTGCCCTGTGCTGGGCTCCTGCCCAGGCTGGGGAGCAGCAGCAGCATAACCCTCACCTCCCCACACACATCCCTGCTTCGCCTGGGGCCAGCACAGGGGTAAGAACACCTCCTGTGCCACCCAAAGTGTGGATCCCAAGACTCCATGTCCCCCTGGCTTAAGGCCAGAGTGAAGGACTAGATGGAGGTGAGGCCTCTGGAGGCAGGGGTGGTAGGGTCAGACCCTTGAGAGGACAGAGGAACCCTCAGCCACTAGAATCCACAGGGAACTACAGGGACACCCGGCCCCAGGGGAGGGGCCCCAGCTGGGGTGGAGAGGCTGGGCATATCTTAGGCAGGTACACACACCTGGTCGCCCAGTGTTCGGTGTTCTCTACACAGCCCCCGACCAATACAAAGAAACTCCTGCACCCAGGACCCTCCCTGCAGGCTCCCTGTTTCCCCTACTGAGCAGTCCGAGAAGGCGGACGGGATGGTAAGAATCTGTGCCTCAGTGCCCATCCTGCTCCATGAGGTCATAGCATCCATGACCTCAGCTTCAGTCATCCATGTCCTTGCTCTCTCCCTGTGCCTACTCCCAGCTCTTGGCGTTCCTTGGGTGTCAACCAGGAAGGGCTAAACTAAGGTAATTGATGTGTGTTATCTGCATGAAGTCAACAGGCCCCTCCAGCTTCTTATCTCCAGCTTGCCGAGACCAGGAGAGGAGCAAACAGCAGCTGACAAGTCTCCCAGGAGAGGAGCCAAGAGAGGAGGCCTGCCTGGGAGACAGAGCACCTGGACAGAGCAATGGCGAGCTCTGCCATTCACCTGAGGAACATGGGGTGGGAGAGATAGCACTGCTGGCTGAAGCAATCCCGGGAGGCTTCAGGGAAGAGGCTGCCCTTACATTGGGCTTTGAAGGATGTGTAGGATTTAGAAGCATGAGGGGCATGGCAGGCAGGGGACACAGCTTAAGCAAAAGACAGGAGATGTGAGCGCAGTAGGGATTAGATGCATGAGCTTCAGATGTGTACATATCAGGGTTTCAGTCCAGCTGTGCGACTTGGAGTAAGAAGCTCAACTGCTCTGTGCCTTGGTTTCCTCATTTGCAAAAATGAAGGTAATCGTATCTACCATGTGGGTAATGGTGGGATCAAGTAAAAGGACCGCTAAGGCCCCAAATACACAGTAGGTGCTCAATACATAAATAAATGCAAGTTCCTTCCCACCCCTTGTTGGTGGAGGAATGCTCAGGGGATAGTAGGAACTAACATGTATTGAAAGACTACATATGCTGGGCCCATAGTAATCATCCACAAACAACCCATTTTACAGATTGGAACAGCGAGGCACTAAAAGAGAGCATCATGTGCTCAAGGTCACCTGGGTAGCAAGTAGGACCAGAGTTTAGGCTCAGGAGTGGCTTGAGTCCACCTCTGGGGCTCTCAGCATTGTCCCCTCTATTCTGGGAAACTCACACAGTATGACTCCAAGGAAAAACAGGGCTGGGTCCTGATGGCTTCTGGAGGGGCGACCCCGGCACGAGGCCTGGGGTCGAAGAGGGAATGAGGCTAAGGCAGCAGGAGAAGCAGAGGGAGGTAAATGCCGCGCTCAAGTTTTCCTCTTGACGAAAGGAAGAGACGCCTGGTGGAGGGCACAGCTTGGGCGAAGGAAAGGAGGTGGGAAATGACAAGTGAGCTTCCTCCAGCACAGAGGTGCAGCCTGAGGCCCAGAGAGGGGAGGGCACTTGCCCAAGGTCACACAGCCTTCATGAGGCAAAGGACCAGGAGCTGGGTCCTGCCGTGGGCTGTGGTGCCGGGTGGATCCCACACTCTCTGAGCCTTGTTCCCTGCAGTTGGGTAGGGCTCCCCATGCCAAGGCCTTGTGGTCCCCAGGCATCTCTGGGACATCAGCACCCCCCAGCTGGTGTGAGGGCCCCAGGAGAGATAGTCAAGGAAGACCAGAGAGGTAGAGCTGGCTTCCCTGCTAGGGCCAGGCTTCCCCACTGGAGGCGCTTTGCTGCCCCCTCGTGGCTCCGAGTGATTCTATATAATCTCCACTCCCGTTTCTTCAGATTTCCGAGGAGCAGGGGGGTGCCCAGTTCTAGGGCGGGTACCCATCCTCCTTGTGATCCACAGGTGTGTCCAGACCAACCTGGAGGTCTTATCTCCTTCCCCAATGTCCCAGGACCCCTGACCCCCCACACACAAAGGAGGCCGAGGTCCAAGAAATGTAGAGTCCTACTGAAAATCAAGGGTTTGAACCTGGCTGGGCCACATGCCAGCTGTGTGACCTTGAGCGCGTTCTGTCACCTTCCAATGCCTTGTTTCCTCATCTGTAGAACAGGGGTGGTAATAATGACTTTTACTTCATACTGCCTTTGTGAACGTTAAAGAACACAATAAGTAGAAAGTTCTTAGAAGAGTTTCTGGCCTATAACAAACACTTGATAAAGACAGGTGATATTGTCCTCACCTGCCCAGGCCTGAGACGTGACAGAACCTTTCCCTCCTTCCTGAGCAGGTCCCCCATGGGAAAGGAGCCCTGTTAGGAGCTCAGCATGGGCGGATTTTCTTAGAGACCCGAGTTTTGGATCCTTGGCTTGTATGCTCAAGCTGTGTGACGTGGAAAGAGTTGCTACACCACAAGAGCCGGGCTTGAGGTTGCCACGTGCCTTCTATGAGCTTATGGGGGTGGAAAGATTGGACCCACTGGAGCCACAAACTCAATTCAGAAAGGGTTTATTGGCCAGGGCTGCAGGGGAGCCAAAGGGAACAGTTTGGGAGGGCTTCCTGCAGGAGGCGGCCAGCACAGAAGCACAGGGCAGCTTTCTCTGCCATCCATGAGCACAGGGGCCCCTCAATCAGCTACAGGAGTGTCCATGAGCCTCTTGGGGATCTCTGGGGGGCACGGATGGCCTTCCCAGACCAGGAGTCCTCAGTTCTGGCCCAGCTGGGCTCTCAGAGCCTGCAGCTCTTGGCTATCAATGCTGTTGCCTCCACACACGATGACCACGACAGACACCAGGGACGGTTGCAGGCGGCCCTCAGCCTGGAGCCTCCCCAGGAGGCCTGAATAGATGGCAGCTAAGGCTGCCCCACAGGCAGGCTCCACCAGCATACGTTCATCATCTGCCCGGAGCAGGGAGGAGGAGCAGAGGAAAGGAGAGAAGAGAAAAGGGGACCAGTTAGGCTCTGGGCACTGTAAATCCATGAAGCCAGCCAGACATCCATCTCACAGTCCATCATTTGTCTGACTCCCTCTCCATTCATCAATCTGACCATTTATCTCTCTACCCATCTGCCTTTTATCTATTCATCCATTTATTTCCCTATCCATCATTAGACTGTCTGTCTGTCCATCTATTAGTATATCCATCAATCAATGATTCCATCCATCCATCCATCCACCCATCCATCCATCCACCCATCCATCCATCCATCCATCCATCCACCCATCCCCATCCATCATTTGATTGTCCATCCATCAGTGTAGCTATCAATCAACAAATCCATCCATCCATCCATCCATCCATCTGTCCATCCTCTATCCATCATTTGACTCTCTGTCCATCTATCAATGTGTCCATTAATCAGTGTGCCCATCCATCCATCCATCCATCCATCCATCCAT